ATATATATATATATATATATATATATATATATATATATATATATATATATACATATGTATATATACAGATTGCTTTTTCCATCCTCCTCGTAACCTCCGCCCTTGCCCAATCTGTCTAGTCATCCCTTTTATGCCTCTGAAATCGACGAAAAATCTTCGAGACACTCAACTGACACCATAACCGTCCTTCCTTCCTTTCTCCATCCCTCTGTTTCGACATCTCGTCCTTTGCAGCTGTGTCATTGTATTCCCTTCCCCGCTACCTATCCTCGAAGTTGAGTTACCCGAGCAGCTATCTATCCGTCCCTCATCCACTTTACCCTCTTCATTGTACCCAATTCAACAAAGCAATCACTCAGTCTCATTCTTTTCGTATCCAGTACCTGAAGAAACAAACAATTACCGCCTCTCCACTTGTTACCAATTCAAACTTTAGGGATCGACCTATAGATACAGCCACAAATGGGCAGATATACATACATACACACACACATACACACACACACACACACACATACACACACATAAGCACCCACACACACACACATTCACATACCTATCCCTCAATAATGCTCAATAATGAGGTAGAAATGTTGTGAGGAGTTTTACCCCTGATGGGTAACAACCGTTCTATTGTTCCCCTTCCCTATCTCCCATCGCCATTCTATCGTCCCCACGCATCATTGTCACACGATATGTCCTTGGGCTGTACCAATTTCGAAAGTTCACTTTATACACTCCTGCATTTCATACACCTTACCCTATCCTCCTAACCAACCAAACATTTACATATGGCAAGAAGCGTGCGGTATACACAACTTAACCCTCAAGCATACAATCATCACGAGATCTATCTTTCTATTACTTTCTTCTCATCAATCAATCTACCACATTCATCTACCTCAGTATTACCTCATGGAACATTCTTCACATGGCAGCTGTTGATCCAAAAAATTGAAATTTTGATCAGTTATCACATGCAGGAAATCCACATTCGCTGCACAAAGTTACATTTCAACATTGAAAAGATTGAAAGCTGCCCGCGTACTGGGAAAGTTTGTTTTTCAATGTATTATAGAAAAATTTGGCTTCTCTTACAGATGTGCCTCATTTCAAGGGTAGACGTACACGTGTTTTATTCAACACAGTTACGGACATGTATTGAATGAAAAGAACTTGAACATAATCAGAAGGAAGCTTCAGCTGAAACCAATAACCTATTTATTGGTTTTTATACCGCTGACGATTAGATCAGATAGATTAGATGAGCAAAGTTTCCACCGAGTTAAGCCAGGATATATACATATATATATATATATATATATTCTTCTGATCATTTTAATCTTTATCAGATATCATTTTTATCAGTAATCCACACCTATTTTCAAGTCACGACTATTTTTTTCCTCTCTGTTTCATTCGATAAACAGCAAAAATCCTTCAAAATATACTGGAATGCTGAAATCAAGACCTGGTATCGGAATTTTTTTGCCAAAACAGGTAATTGTCAATTCAATTATGGTTTCAGAAAACCCACCAATTTTCGTCATACTTTCACATAATGAAACAAAACTTCACTTAAATTTGAATTAAAATTCAACTGACAGTCTCCTTCATGAAATAACATCATGTGTCTCGTTTGTCCCACATCTCTTTCTCTTTTTTTTTTCGATTTATTCGGTTAACGCCGCTTTTATTCAATACGATTCAGTTCTGAAATCTAAATTATGAATAAACTTTTGATTTGATACTTTCATAATCGTTATTTCTCAACAGCAAACGAAGAACTGCAAGCAACCTCCTAATATTTGACACTTCTTCTTCGCCCTTCACGGTCATAACAACTAAAATTGTCTCCAGGATCCCTGTCTTCCCTTACTTTCTTTAGAACTCAAAACGGCAACCGACTTATCGTACTTCCAACTTAACATTAAATACATACTTGCTGTAACCCACAGCAAGAGAAACTTAATCTAAAACGCGAAATTTTCAATCGCATTCCATTTCTTCTTTTAAGCGCATAATTCACCACTAATTACGCAAAATGGCACATAATTTCCTTTCCATCAATCTATCTAGCGCACGTCATTGACGAAAATGTGAACTTGAACTCCCTCCACTCTAATCATCTACTATAGTAACCCTACATGAGAACGGAACTACGAAGAATGCAAAAATCTCACCGACCTAAATTTAAAATGATAGCACCATTGAAAAAGTGACAGAAAAATCAGATGACGGAAACCAATTTCGCCAGTAAGCCAAATTCTAATTCCTTCCCTTTATAATGTCCATGTACACCAACTCACCAGCATTTTCATATATTTTGAAATAACTGAAGGTTGTTGTCAGTAGAATTGAGCGAAGTGCCATCAAGATCACCCATACTAATTTCTCACCTTCCACGCTAAACCCTTGGATCCCGATATCCTAATGACGTCTTACTGATAACCGTCGACAATAGAAATCCTGATGGTTTTCGATCATGGAGTATATAGCTTGTACCTTAATTGAGAACAATCACGTCCAGCACACCAGTAGAAAGTGTGAAGATTTCAAGCATGTTGCGAAAAAATGATTTACAAAAACATAACATAATGTTAAGTTATATATACACAAATCAAACGCCATAATAAGCAAAAATAGTCTTTAAAACAACGCAAAAATGCAAAACAGATACAATATTTTGTAAAATAAAAAGAAGGCAAACGTTCGACTGAGGATGTAAGACGGTGCATATCCAAAAATTGTAAGACCGTTTTCACAAAATGATGGTTAAAAATCAATTTGTTTCTTTATTGCAATCCAAAAATTGAATTTTATTTCAATTTCTTCAACAGTCAATTTGGAGAGATATTTCTGGATTGTTCCTTTGCCCAAAAGGCCAACTACGTACGTCACAAAAGCCAGCTACGAAACTTCAGAAAATCAAAAATGAAATTTCGGAATGGCCCAAAACTTTCTTCGATGATGAAAATCCAGATATTTGCACTGAAGTACTTCACCAAAGAAGTTCTTGTATTCCGAAAATCCTACTGGACATAAATATGAGAAGGTGGAATTCGCTGCAGATCGGACGGTCATAGACGTGCTCAACGTTTCAATGTCAGCAAGCACGGTACAAAAACCAACTGATCATTATGAATTAAAAGGCATAATCCAAGACATGAACATTTTTTGGAACAAATAACTGACAGAAATATAAACCAATAGAAATATAAATCCGAGCAAGTAATCTGCATATACTTCTGAATGTAGGTAATAGAAATGCAAGTGCAAAATGTTGGTTGGTTTACGAATAACGTTGGCTTACGAACAACGAATAAGTAAATTGGCGATATTAAAGAAATCTTTTGGGAATTCTCGAATCACAATGGATTTGCAAAATGGATACATATAAATGGAAGGAAGTGACTGATAAATGACCAATACGAAGTTGTGAGCAAAAATACAATAACGGTTGTTAGCAGTAACAAAAATGTTAAGTAACGTACAAACCACATAAAACCCAACAAACGGCACGGTGCGACAATCCCTTACGAGATATAAGCAGATGAATTAGACTTAATCGCTCTATGGAATTATCAGTCAAAGAAATCCTGCAGAAGCGTACGTCGTTTACATTCTGCCACATGCATTTGTGTTTCCAGATCGCCTCGCTCCGTACTTTCTGCCCTCTCAACTTTCCAGGATAATTCTTCAATCTCTTTCTCCAACTGGGCTTGTTGATATTCAAACTGAATAAAGAAAGAATTAAGAAAGAGTATTTCAGTTTCAAAATCTCCATCTCTTATATCATGCCTCACGAAACCTTTTTAACGGAAAGTCGCACTGAACTGAATAATCAGACAATTTAAAAATCTGATAGCCCTTTAATTTATATTAGTAAAACTCCAGATGAACGAAATCGTATGCAGTGTTCCAATTCATTGATATGAATCCCTCGAGAATTTATCAAAATTCTCGGTATTTCGCAAAAAAAAAAATCATTCTTCCTAATCCCAAAAGATCATACCAACTGTTTTCTTGGTCCATTTTCCATATAATATGCATATGGATAAGTATACTGCAATGTGTAACGACATTTTGTAAGCAGTGTGGCTGCTCTATGCAAATACTGCCAATCAATCCATGTCCCTTCATGCCCATTCACTTTTTCATCGATTTTTTTCATTATACAATTCCGTAAATCCTCTTCCAACTTTAACGATTTGTGGTGATTCTCATACCGCTCTGTAAAACAAACTTTATAAATATCGTTTTTGAAACACCACATAGTATATTTCTGACTTCACTGACATTAACCGAGCAGAGATAACTGGAAATTAGTATGGTACATAAGAAACCGTAAATTATTTAGCTGGTAGAGTAGAAATGTTGTGAAGATCCTATACAAGATGCTATAGATAAAAACACACCATAATAATGTAAGTATTTTTCAAGTGCACGACGGGCTTTGACATGATTTGCTTCCTGGGCTATGGATGGATTTTCTTTATAACGACTACATTCATAATATTCGCTTCCATGGTTCTTCCAGTCTATAAAAAACCCAACGTAGAAATCAAGCTCTGTCAATTGCTTAAGTGAAGAAATGGGAATGAATTTGAACCAGAAAGTACGTAATACACAATGACATTTTATTTGAAATTCAAAATCTGTCTTGAGACGATGACCTGAGCTACTGATTTATAGAGAACACACTTTTTCAGGGTAGCTTCCTCAGCTGATTGTTCTTGTCGCTGTAAGTAAAGGATAAAAAAGATTACTATAACCTGGAATGCATGCTACAATATGTTGAGATTGAGATGGAGCTTAAATTTTGCATTAATGAGACTATACTATTTATCAGTAAACAGTAGTAAAATAAACTTTAATTGATAGTAGATCCAAAAAAAAAAAATGAATGACCTCCAAAGCACATCCAACAAAAGTGATGCTTGCACTTGGCGCACTGCATATGATTGCACCCACCGTTTTTTTTCGATACATGAGTGGCAGTTGGGACAATCCTTTGTATGTGCACTAAATTATTCAAATATACAAACAATTAACAAAATAGGTAGAACACAAATTAGTGTAGTTTCACATCCCTAAACGGAACTGCAAGTGGAAGTATTCTCAGTGACATAAACAAAAAGTTAGAAAAAAAGTAATTTAAACCACGGCAGGATCTATTTTAACCTTATATAATTGGCAGTTTCACTGTCATCAGCACACTTTGTTAACCATTTCCGTATTGTTTCGCAAGAGGTCGGTGCGTGGTAATCACAACCGCATTGAAAACTAAAAACGAAAATTAGATATAGAAATCATCTATGAAAGTTTTGGTAGCAAAAACAAAAAGTAACATCACAAATTCGAAACATTACCAAAACTTTTCTAGCTCTTCAATGCAGAACGTAATTCGGTGATGACAAAATCGCATCCAAGGCAAGGCAGAGAATAAAACTCCAAAAACGTTGTAATGTGTTCATTTATGCCCCGCTAATTAGTTTCTTCAGACAATCTGACTGATCATTCCGGCGGGATGTGAATGTAACAACAGTTGGACAGGATCTATGAATGGTAATCATTTCGCGCAGGCACCCCAAAGTGATGTGTATTGGTTTGCAAGAATCAAATAATTAGAATTAGAATCCAGTGATAAGGCAAACTTGGAACATACCAAAAAGAAATTCGGCAACTGGTGCAAGTAACTTTCTTTGCTTTTTGACACTGTGCTTTGATTACGACATGACAGTCAACACCCGGACAAAATCGCAACTGTGAATGCGATTCAACACAGTTTTTGAACATCAACCTTGCATATTTATCTTTTATTTCTGTGCGTTCGTTCAATATCCTTAGTACAAAATCTTCCAAACAAATTAATGTACATCCACTTGCCATGCAGCCGATCCTGTAAACAATTCTGCCTAGTTCCCTTCAAAACTTCTTTAATCGTTTTTTTAAAATCACTTTCATAAATACTTTTTAATCACCTTCCACAAATATAACCTTTTGAGATTGATATACAACTAAATACCAAACGCAAATATCTAATGGAATGGAAATAAGTGTGTATCGATACATTAAGCAAACAAATTAGTTTAAATTTCAAGCTAAATTAAAGATGGACTGATTAAGAACTTAGGTGATACGGTAAAAGCTAACGTGATTGATAAGCCATTACAAAGCTGAGTTTCAATATATTTCAGCCAGCAGACTGAACAAAAACTATGCCCACAGTCCAGTGCATACATTTTGGTACATTCCCCTCGTAACCTTGTACAAACCACACAGCTTATTGCGTCTGATTGTTGCTCTGAAGAACCAGTGCACACAAAGCAATCTGAAATTTAAGCAGTAAACTAAGCACGAATATATAACTAATATAGTAGTAAACTAACATGCACAAGGAATAAATACACGCACATAGTAACATACAACACATGCAGTGCAGGTCCATTTGACAACACGAATGCATACCTCGCATGTGTCTTCTCGAAAGGCTAACAATGTTAGCCATGTAACTATCCCGTTTAATCTACCCGTTCAGACTCCCAATGATTCAACAGCAGAAATTCACATGATGAGAAAAATTTACTATGTGTGATTAATTAATCAAGGTACTAAAAATATATCAGCTAAAACCAACTGCATGAAACTTACCGACAAGAATTTTACATGGATCAACGCTGTACAATTTGATTAAAGTGGAGTCGTCCCACTTGTAAAAGTAGAGGAGCAGTTTGGCAAGTGAAGATGATACATTTAAGGTTGAAACGACATGATTCACAGTTTCTTCTAAGAGATGTTCGACCTGGGTATTTGTGAAATTAAAACACTTCTCGATATAGCTGAGATACATAAATCTACCCGAATACTCCTTCTTCTTAATTTCGTTTAAGATATTATTTTACATGGATAACAATAATCGAAAGGTTTTATAATGCATACCTCCGGAACTTTTAGACATGCATATTCAATGTGTTCTGGATCTTCTTTTTCGAACATCTCCATAGTACAATTTTCTCCATTACAGTAAAAGTCATCTAAATATGTTTTTTCCAGTGAAGTTCAACAGAAAACGTTATGAACACTAACAGAAATACAGTCGAACAGAATGAACTAACCATAATCGTAATCTGCTTCATCGTCCGAAAGAGAAGGACTATCAGCAGGTGTGTCGCCGCATTCCATCCCCACGGAATGGAAAAGCGAGACTCCAGCTGGAAATGGACAAAATCTAGAATTTCCTCCAGTATTGCATCACTGAAGTACATGCCAAGAAGTATGAGTGTAGGACTCCCCACTTATCATTGATAGATTCGAAGAGGTACAATTTACTCAAACAGTTTTGAGAAGATGAACTACTGAATTCTCGTCAATTTATGTCTTTTTCCATTACGTAGTATGAATGATGACATTTTTGCACCACCTAAAATGAGTGTTTGCCAGCTCGTAGACATATATTCCCTATCAAACACATCCCTTCTTCCACATCCCCTCATTTTCATATGATAATGCAACAGGCATTCCTGACAAAAACAGTACTCTCGTGAGCATTCCAGATGAGCAGTATTGCTCACTAAACATTTATTTAAATATGAAACCTTACAACATTTGCCAGTCATGTTGGATAAGAAAAACACTGAATAAGTAACATTAAAAAAATCCTGCATCGCATAAATGAGAATAAATGGAACATTTGGAAAATTTAAAAAATTTCAACAGTACAGAAAATCGAATGAATCCAAATCCAAAGTTTTGAAGTAACTCGCATAAACCTGCAAAGGGAACAACATAAAAAAAAGACGAAGGATTAAAGTTTCGTAAGTTAATCTGAAGGGATTTCATAAAATGAAACTTACATGTCTGATAAAATACTGAGACAAAATTATGAACATGGCTAAGGTTAAAAGTTCACTACGAAATCCAAATTTGTACAACAAAAAAATGGCAAATCTGATCCGATTATAGAGATTTTCAATATCAAATTAAGCTTGTTAGAGCTTACATGTACATAACGATATGCATTTATAAACAGTTCGTAAGATAAATCATATTTTAAAGAACTGGTAATTTATATAGTAAGAAACATATTGAGGAGTTCGAGTACAGAAATAATTGAAATTTAAAACAACATTAAAACCAGAAACGCAATTTAGTGTTAAAAGAAAAATTGAATTTATGCTGCCATTATATGTAACATATGGTATGTCACGAAATATAACATAGATTATTCAAGGCCAACACTAATTAGTCCACTAAGTATGGTTACTCACAACTGTTGGAACGGACTGATTGCAGTGAACGCAGATCCTTGCAAAAGCGCTGAGCGGAATGTGGAAATAGCTAGGTAAGCCTGATACGGTCATTCTGTAGTGGACCACAAAGTGCAGTTCGTTTCCTTTTGATTTTTGGAATAAGAAACGAAGTGCATCTTCTTTCACATCTCAAATTAACATTCACAATTCCAGAGCATTGTCTCGAACCATATGCTTTATAAGTAGTCAAACAAAATACAGTAGATCGGAAAACTATCTTATCTATCTCACTTATGAAGAGAATCTTGTCCCAATGGTTAATAAACGAAGGTAGGATGGTTCCAAAAGATAGTACACAATAGAATATCCCTAATATCGATATCGAAAATATAAAATAATGTCATTTTGGTAAATTCTGCGCTGAGAAATTTTGGATAAATAAATTCATCTGGTTTTGCTGAGCTGACGTCATACCTTGTGGTGATGAAAGTATCTGAAATTACACATACTATAAATGAAAGCACTATTTCCCTTAGAAGTTTAGTTTTCTAAGAAAAACTTCGAGAAATATATGAATGATAATATCCTTACCTGTCCTAACACAGATGCGAAGCCATTCTTGTGTGAGGACAAGAGTAATCGACACAGCGTATGTCGGTGTTCATAGAGTTGTGCGAACAATGTCGTGAACTGCGGATTAACAGACCCCATTGCAGCCTGTACGGAATTTAACTGACTGCTCCTATAAAAAATAAATTAGAAACCAATAATTACGAAAGAATAAAATATCGAATCCGCAGGGTGCAACCTAAAATACGAGATGATAACCGGATCATGGAGTCCTAGAACAATTATGCGACGACGAAACGTCTCTTATACGATAGGGGAGAGAATATTATTTTCCAATAATCACAGCATCACATATGTTCTAAGTTCAAAGTTGACAATAAAAATTGTACATATAAAAAAAGGAAGAAAAAAGTTAGACGGATGTTTAAAAAACGCGAAAACTCACTTTTCATGTCTTCGACGCTTTCGTCGCCGGTGTCTGGATGTTGGTCCATCATCGATATCCTCATCTGACGATGTTGAAGCCGAAGATGATGATGAACTCTCCGATGACATCTCTCCTTCTTCCAACTTAAACAGATATACTGACACTATACCTCCTGTGTAAAGGTTTTTATGTCTACATTTAGAAAATCTAGTCTGTTTTCTCAAAACAAGGCACCAGTAAGAGTAACGAATTTATCCTACTAAGACGATGATAGAAATAGATAAGTAAACCTCTCTCCTGATTACAGGGGTTTCTGTTTCTGCCCTGACAACTTCACCATCTGGAGCCATTTCATCCTTTTCATTTTCATTTTCAATTTCTGGAACCACTTCCTGCGTTTTTTTAACCTTTTCTTCTTCCAATTTCCTTTGCCATGTCTCTTTTTTCCATTGGTTTCTGAAATTATGGTCTGACAAATGGAATAAGAAAATTTGAACAATTTTATAAACTGACAAATGTGACGAATATGTGACGTAAAGAGTCCATTCTTCTGCAAAATTCACCTAAAAAATACAGACAGGACATACAAAACTGTAATGATGAACTTAACAACATTCAAAAAAACATGATGTTACCGCCAACTTTCCGTCCGAAATATATTTTCTATTAAAATAACCTCAACTTTCGCATCTTGGGATCGATATATAATTGGGGCCGTTCGTAAACTGGGGCTGGTTTCACTGGTTTGTTAATACTGGCCCACGATTCAAACGAAAGGGGTTGTCCGTCAATTGTGTAATTCCCTGAAATTCCTAACCAAATGTAAACTTAAAAAAATGGACAACACTCCATTTCCGTTTCAAATTTGAATCTCAGTAAAGGTCACAAATTTATTGAGATAATAACGGCCGGGAATTTGAAAAAAGGAACTTAAAGAAAAACTGAACCAGATGGAAAAAGAACGACGAATATAAAAGAAAAGAACCATGTTCATCTTCGTCAACATCTAGCTCTCCTTCTTCCGTTGCTAGCATGGTCCGAACCTTGGCTAGCACTTCCCCGACACCCATTATTGTTGCTAAAGCGCGTTTCCTTGTTGAATTTTCAGAATTTTTTCGTTCAGGAATATCATAGGGAATGTATGGTGCAGCAGACATTATGTAACTTGTGGAGCGCTGAACACCTCTCGTGTTCTGCACTTCTTTTTTCCATATCCTAAATAAACAGTTCAAACGTGTTTTTGTGAACAGGATTCAGAAAATGTATAATCAGTTAAATACCGTCTTACAACTCCAAGTTGAAAACGCATCTTGTCCAGGGAGTATTAATGTTAAAATTGTTATGTGGTCGATTCACAACGACAATTTCAACTCTAACCCCAAACTGAATGTTACTGGAAAAAGAACTCCCAAAAGTCATATAGATAAATGCATAACGTTTTTATGACCTGATAAGATTGTCAACATGTTGTCTCATCCAATGCGTTGGAAGACTTCGCTGATGTCGCTCCAGAACATTTAGCAAGGCAATTTTCAATAACGAATCAGGAATCCCTCTGTGTAGTTGGCTTACTTCATCGCATAATTTCCAGAGCTCATTTAGTTCATTCAGTTCTGCCCAATTTGTTCGCGTGTCATCAACGTACTGAAAGTAAGAAGTTCAACATCACTTTCGGCGTATACATATAGAAATACATTGCATATATAGCTTGGAAAAAAGAAAAGCACCTGTTGTACGAAACTCGTTACATCTTCCACTGTGACCTCAGGAGCAGGAATAAATGGCACGACAGCAGTTTCTGAAGTAGCTGCAATTGCTGTCGACGATACCGAGGGTGATGGTTGGGAAGACGATGAAGATGGAGCTGAAGAACCGCTCACAGGTACAACCCGAGCATTGAGAATTTTATCGTTTTCTGTTTTCATATATGAGATATATTCATCCATTGTCAGAAGTCTGAAACTACCAATCATGCTCATATTTTGATCCTGGTCAGACTTAAAACCCTGAACCGAGATTCTAAACTCTAAACCGCAAACGTTCATTATCTGTTACTCCAGACTTTCAATGTACTCCGTTCTTATGCTCCGGAGCAACAATTATGGAAATGTTTGCTCCGACACTTGGTCTAAAATGCTATCGTTCCTCTTTGAGGCACAATCATAAGAGACTACCAAAAAAAATAAAAAGTGAGATCCATATACGAGGTGAATTCAATTGTTACTATTGCATAAAAATGTACAAGGAGTTAACAAGTAGAAAATAAAGTATAATGCAGTTCAATAACGGATAATTAATAAACACATAATGAATTATTATTTCTTGACAGAAAACCTCATAGTAAGCTGACGATCGCCTTCATCAATCTCAAATCCATCTGCCAATTCTACTCGTGCATCATTCGCTTCTTGAACGGTATGGAATACAATCTGCAACAATTTGCATGATAAAAATGCGTTGCTGCTGAGATACAAGTACTAAGCATATTCGACTACTCCTAGTTTGATAGAAATCTTGGTAAATGGTTGTCTTTTCTTCTCATTTCTCCCAAAACTATCCACAACCCTAACTTTAAGAAATAGGAATAACCTCAGCCTGCTTCTCCGATGCTATGAACGGATCGGCCTCCAGCTGTATTGTTTCAATGCATTCGCTGCCGAATATTGATGACAGTAAGGTCTGATCCGTAGCTGTAGACAAATGAAGAGCATAGAGTCGTCTTGAAGCATCGGGATCCGACATATTTATTTTGAATGGCATGGGTGGTTGCACAATTCGCGAATTCGGTACCGGATCATCTAAATATTATTCTGACATTCAAGACGAATGAATAGAACGATCATACCACTAAGAAAATCTTTTACTTAGAAAGTTCATAAAAGTATTCGAACGATCAAAAAACGTACAAAAAAGTTTAGACGCCTGTAATTTCAGTGGATTCCCATCAAACGTCATTTTGTGAAATGCAGCAAATGCTAGTTTTGCTTCTTCCGGTGTTTCATATACAGCACTTAGTCCACCATGTTTTATACCACCTGTATTAACAATTAAAGTATTACGCACTAGTTCATCGTTTAACTTTTCAATGAACATGTTGAACATTCCAACGGAAAATTTTTTTCAGCGATCCAGAACAAAAATTATTAAACATGTGAAGAAGGTTACAAACCCTTTGTGGTTTTATCAAACCAGATATGAAACGATTCGCTTTTTTCGAGTAAATCCCAAAACTTTTCACTTGTCATCCATTTCCCAGGAAAAGTTAATCCAAGAACACGAAACTTTCGCCTTGAATCACTCGAATCTCGTGAATCCGAAGCTTGTTCATTAGCTGAAAAAAAATTGCTTGCTTAGCTTAAAACAACCATCCAATTCTGCAACTACATGCTTTAGTTTTTCAACAAAAAAAAAAGGAAAAAAAACTAACTACTATTAACAAAAAAAAAGCAACATTCGCACATTTAATGATACATCTGTTCACAACTACTCAGTTAAATACCAAAAACAATCTTTTGCGAGGAGCTCACGACAATGATAATCCACGACATGGTTGATGGTTTTTTCTTTCGTATTCTGTTATTCCCACGTAAGAATATGCAAAGAAAACCATCAGTTCATACATTTTATGAAATTCTCAGCATGACTTTGGTCATTTATCTTTGGTTTGGCCGAAAAGTTTTCCTGTTCCAATTCCTTCCGTATTAATGTAATTGTTGTATCGGAGAGGCTACTGCTCGTCTCAACTCCTGGTGTAGAAGGGCTGGAAATACTTTCTGCTGTATTCTGTAATTTTGCCAAACAAGCAGCATCTCCGTTAATTTCGCCGTTTATTCGAACTTCTAACACTGTTCCATCATCCATGCTCAAGTAACCTGCAAAACAGCCTCAGAAATAACTAAGGAATAGTGATATCGAAGAAATAATGAGCTTGTTTGATAAAAAGCGATCCGGATATCATTTGAGGGAGAACTATCTGTCATGAGTCATATCTTACTTTTTCTTATACGAATCATTCGTTTGTTGTAAGTAACGTACAAAAACACCAGTCCAGTTTTATAGTCTGTTCATCAGCCACAACAAGTGACAACAGAAATATCTGGTTATACACTGCATGCATGGTACTTATGCCAGATGAGAATGTGGCATTTGCTTAAACAAAAATGCAGCAGCAACATTCAAAGCATTGCTCTGGATATTAAAAGCTTAGACACAACACAAGTCAAATTAAGGTTCGCTCAGTTTAATCACAAATATTTTAACCAATAGAAATAAGAAAAATTACAAGTTAGCCAAATGCAACAACGGGCAAAATATTTGATCCGTAAAATCTGTTAGTCAGTAGAGATTAAAGTTCAACACGTTAGCTGCTTCCACCAAATTCCATAAGTACACGTGGACTCTGAAATAGTCCATTTCTAGAATAGATAGCAAAAGTCTATCAGCTATCACTCAGTCATTCAGTGTACTCTCTTTATCTTGCAGGCTTCTCACTAATACCTGCGACTGATTTAAAATGTCTACTGTTAACCAAAACTGCACTTTTCCCAAACAATTTCCTTGTCAAACGACCAATAATAGTCCTACCATAACAAACTTTCAGCTCTAATCTCATATGCTCAAATAATAACGGCAACCATCCATACCATTGTCCCAGCCACTCCGGAAATTAAAACTAAATCCGGAATCAAATACTCTGACAAGTCTTCCTTATCTGTGAATCCTCCTCCATTTTCACCACCCCGCTTTATCCCACCGCATAAAAACGTGGCTCGGCTCTGCCTAATACTCATGGTTTTGCAAAGGTGTTGCATAGGAGGTGGAAATTCGCACAAGCGAAGGTATGAAAAGTTCGGACTCCTCGGTTTGTCACAGGCGGTGAGTAGTTGTGGCTTATGATGTGATGGTTTAAGTGGTTTAAGTGGAAGGAGTAACGAAGAAGCATTACTTTCAGGGTATCGGCGGACTGTACAAGCAGGACCACCATAACAAGCCATAGCCGAAGTAGCGTTGGCTCAGCTCTTTATGAGCGTGAGTACATCACAACACGGCAACATCGTTATCTTCGACGTAATGGCATCGTACACAGAGGTATATATTCTCGCATATTTTAACACTTAATACTTTTGTAATTGCATTTATTTCATATATCTACTTCACCATCTATTTTAGAGATGAAGCTGGTTAATGTTACATAACTTTCTATCCACTACTGGAAGGATTGTTCGTCATATGCATTTTCTTTGTCACTTTGATATTTACTTAAACTAAATTGGATTTAGCAATGGGTTCAATGCGATGTGACCGTAATTCAACAAACTACAAGGTTTCAGAGGATCAATCAAATTCAAATGAGCAATTAGCGTTGGGAGAAATATGTATGGTTTTGCGTCACGGAAGTTCTAGACGACGACGTGCTGTTATTATTGATAGAAGACCAACGGAAAGAGGAACGGGGAATGAGTACTACGTGCATTATGAAGGGACAGATAGACGTCTTGATGAATGGGCACAACGTAGTCAGATTCAGAAAGTTTTTGTCCAAAAAAATGTAAGTGTTCAAAGAGGATGACAAAAGAGGGGATAGTGAGGACTAAAGTCTGTTTGCAAAACACGTCCAACTATGTATGCCTAAATGTTTCCATTCGAATTCAAGTTATAATTCCGTGATGGACCTCACAGGGGTTCCATTTAATCGTATCTTAAACTATTATGAATTTATTTTGAATGGGAATTTCGTTTTTCTTGCCTTGTAGACCCTTTTACAATATCCAGGAAGCGTAATTTTGTGATAATAAATTTTATATTGCAGACATCAATCGATGATGGTCGGAGGAAAATAACAAGGGTACGGAAAAGGAAACACATCGAGATGATCGAATCTCCTAATTTACATCCCAGCATAGAAGATGAAAGGACAGCACTTGAGAAAGAACACGAAGAGGTGGTTAATTATGTTGACAACGGTGTTTAGCGTATTGATATGAATTAAATTAAATTGATTGACCTAAATTGATTGAGAAATTCCATTTTCCTACTGAGACTCATAAGTCCAATGTAGTTTTCGGATATACAGATAAAGGCAGTGCGGTTCTCTGAATTGTGTGTTCGAAAGCAAATGAGATGTGAAATGAGGTTCATTATCGAATCTTGCTAATCATCTAGACGACATAGTCACGTGAAACCCAACATGATTTTCATATTAAGGTTACTAAAGTGAAACATATCGAGCGCATCAGATACGGGAATTATGAAATTGACACGTGGTATTTTTCGCCTTATCCGGATGATTATGGGAAAGCACACAGCCTTTACATATGCCAGTACTGTATGCGGTACATGAAGTTTGAACGAAGCTATCGCGTTCATCTGCTTGAATGTCGAAGAAAAGAACCACCGGGCGTGGAAATTTATAAAGAAAAATCAATGTCTGTATATGAGGTCCTTGGCAGTAACGACAAGGTAGAGTTTTATTTGTTTTTTACTGTGCCTGCTTTTTTACTTTAGTTTAGCTACGATTTCTCTGAGGAATTTTGTTCAAAATCTTTTCACTAGGAAAGGTTTAGGTATACTGCCAGTGTTTGTGTCTTCTGGCGAAGTTGTTTCTGGATCACAAAACGCTTTATTTCGATGTTGAACCTTTCCTGTTCTACGTACTCTGCGAGGTTCGTTCAGAGTATCATTGCTATTGCAGGTGTTATTTATAATTATAACTGAATTTCAAGCTCTTACATAATAGGTTTTTTTGGTCGCGTTTTGTATGGCTTAGTTGCATGTGGCATTTCTATACATTATTTTAAGATCTGTTTCATTACAGGTCGACAGTCGAGGTGCTCAAATGGTGGGTTATTTCTCGAAAGAACAAGGCAATCCTGACGGAAATAATCTTGCTTGCATTTGTATACTTCCTCCTTTCCAGCGAAGTGGTTATGGGAAGTTCCTTATTCAGCTAAGTGAGTTCTAAAACATCATTTAATTTGTGGGAACATGAAGTGGCAATGCTAATTCTGGGCCTGAAATTCAGGTAAGCTTGTATTTGACTTAATTTCAGGCTATGAAATTTCGAAAAGGGAAGGTTTAATTGGTTCACCTGAAAAGCCATTAAGCGATTTGGGCAAATTGAGTTATCGATCTTATTGGTCATGGGCGGTACTGGAAGTGTTAAGAACCTGTTCAAAAATTTCGATAGCAGATTTAAGCCGAAGAACAGCCATTCATGTGAATGATATTATCGGTGAGTTGTTGGAATTCTGGGAAAAGTTACCGATAGTTTTCAGTCACATCGAACTTAATATTCAAATCGCCAACTCGTTCAAGTCGTCGAACGTTTGCTGGATTGCATTAAGAGACACATTAAGGAAGTGATGACATGATAGTTATGATTATTCAAGCAAATGTCAGTTGATCTTTTCTTTTTTTTGGCAGCTTTGTTCGGTTAGATAGTACTCTTTAGAAACGCTTCACTCTCTCAAGTTGACACGCTACTGGAAAGGGGACCATGTATTATATGTCACGCAGCGATTTCTGCTCAACTGCTGGAAAACAGGTGTTGCAAAAAAGCCACGTTTATTGTTACGACCTCGACTTTTGCGATGGCAACCACGATAGGCATCCTTATAGCGTCCTGCAAATCACCGCCTAATTTCCATGAATTTGTATATATTAATGAAATATGTATCAATTTATTGTTAGCCGCTCCACGTTTTTTTGTTTTCTTTGTACTTTTTTGTACTACAGTTTAGCTTTGTTTTTGTTTTCGGCGTTTTAAGCAGATATGTCCAGATGCAAACTTATTAAATAAGTGTAATACTGCTGTGTAAAAGCAGGTAGCTTGAATTCCAAATTTGGGATATATGCCGCATCGACAATTTTTTTTGGATTGGCCGGACAAAGCTAGAAATCTGGAATGGCAGGTGTTCTAGGATGTTTATGGATATTTGCATCTTTTCGGTAGACTGACTTTTTCTGTATATTAGTGTCGTAAACTGAATTGTTTCATGATGATAGAGCTCCATTCATGATGCTATTGTATTTTTTCCCTGTTTCATGATAATATATACTTGGCTACATGAACGTGACGTTCTATGAATTCGCTGTGATTGTAAGCCCACATTTTTTGAACTTCTCACTAATGGAACTTGCACATTATGTATATACACTCACTGAATCATTTTTGCTTAAATCCATGAGCTGATTATTTTAATTTATTCTGTAACATAGATTTCGGAGAATTTTTGGAGATATTTTAAGCGTTCTGGTATGTCCAAAAATTCTAGATGCCACATTATTAAATTCGGATGTCATTTCTTCTTTTTTGACGGTTTCTCTTACTTATCTATCCTGTACTCTTTTGATTCGTTTTGAACAGTGTTTGAATCTGTTCTCTTTTATCCAGTCGTATTTTCTTCCATTATTCTAGGATAAATGTTCTATGCTATGACTTCTTTTGATCAGAGTAGGATCGTAGATCTGAGGCGGAAAATGTTCAGGATCTGATACATTGGATTCATCAGTTTATTTTAGCCATTTTGTTTTTGAACTGTGAATTCATTGTTACTGATGATTGCTTCAAATATTCGAAACTGTGTTAAAAATATCATGCTTTTCTTCTGCTCGAAACAATTTATGCGGACATGCTGCAATACATACTTTTGCATTTCCTCTCATCAGCAAGTACAATATCAAAATATCGCAGTGGGCGTACGTATTTGTAGTTGAGGTGAACGTTGCTCTTCTTTGGCCCATTTTTATAGCTTTGAAATTCAGAAATACAGAGTAGGATAACAGCATCGTCGGATATGCAAATGTAAAATTATCGAATACTGCTCATTACCTCGGAATGTGTTTTGATAATTGAACAGCGTATTGATTATGGTATGATGATGGTGGTGAAGATGGAGGGTTCTGTCAGGCGACCTTGACAATACGTCATCTGACCGATCATCTAGGTGAAAGACCAACCCAAGCAATTTACCTATCTTCATCTTCCTTCCACTACCTATCTGCTAAGCTTCTGTCGACAATACCCACACAAGGAATGGAGAAATAGTACCATCGGTACACCTTTCTGATCCCTCCCCTATTTGGTTCATTTTATCTGTAATCAGTGGAAGTTTCATCTAACTTCTCTCTCCCTCTCCATTAAGAAAATGGTCTCCTCCTTTCTCCCTTGTTGACCCCATAAGTTCAAACCTCCGCAGCGGATGTTTTTGAATACCTTCAAACAGTTTAACACTAATGCATCCAATTCTCCTACATCCATATATTTGCCTGTTTGTTGACTTATCTTTCATTATTGATACAAACTGTACCAATTCGTTTGTTTTTTGTCTTATTTTATAAGGGACCTAGTGATGAGAAAGGCAAATTTGTAAACAAATGATTCGAAATTTCGTGAAATTTGAAAAA